CTGAAGTCAAAAATCGAAGCATTTTTACTGCCCCAAAACGAGATGACAGACACAAAAAAAAGCACACACACATCATGGTAAAATCAATACATTCACTGCTCCGCTCAGAATCTAAAATTATGTTATACTTAACCTTAATATTTATTTTCTTTTAGGTATCACCATCTTGATTTCCTACAATGTCACTCATAAAACAAAAACTATGTTAAAAAAAAATAAATAAATAAATGTTTAGTCATATCTCATATGAAATCGGAATACTTACTCAAATATAATCATAAATGCATACTTTAGGTATTAGGTGTTTTAATATCACAGTGTCAGATGAAAACAGTTTGTTTACAAAAACCAAAATATCAACCGCTGTAGCATAACCTACATAAAATATCTAAAAATTTGTCCCTCCCATGATTTTCTGTTTCCTGATAATCAATTATTATCATAACGTCAGTTTATATAATTTTTATTCTTTAACTTACATTACACTTACATACTTAAGTCAAGAAAATGGATACCTAATGAACTTATTGGCTCAGAAATATAATGCGTTCTCTTCCTATAGATTAGTTAATGTATTTCATCAATGTATAAGTATGTGTTATGTATTAAATTAAATGCAATAAATTGTATATTACTTGTACCCACTATGTTACCACTTTTCCCCTTTTGCCTTTGTATTTTAATGAACTATAATTTTTTATTAGCATTAAACACAAGTAATCCCAATCAGGTACTAACAATTCTAATGCCTAATAATATACATCTTGTGAACACAATCTAAAGTGTATTAAAGAAATGTCAATTTAAACATTTCCAATTTCTTTGTAATAAATAATATACATACCCTACAACTGACATAACCATTTAAAGACCATCTACATTATACATCCATTAGCTAATTAGGATTTTTATATAAATTTCATTTACCTAATCACTAATTATTTTTTTAAATGTATTTATCTATAAATTCTACCTTCCTTGGATTTGTGTTAATCATAAAATATATTATTTGTCCAGAGAATGTTGACCTATGTTGATAATGTTTGTAACAAAATATTTTGTCAACAAATTGTTCTTAAAGTGCATAATAAATTTTTACTGAATAAATAAAATAACTTTGATGAGTATTAATAATAGTAATAATAACCAAAAAAAAAGAAAAGTAAATTTTATTATACATGTGTAAAAAAAAATATTATCTAAGAAAGTATGTGAAAATATAAAATAATAACAATCGTTCTCAATGATTTCCTTTGATCTATTTATTAAATTTTTTCACAAGAAATTAATCTTAATACTAAATCATAGGTTTTTATACAATATTTGAGCTATATAGTGCTAGAATATCTCATTCCAAAACTACATTATTCTAAGAGAAAATCAATGATAATTTAATAGATTTTTAACTTTATTATTAATTTAGTAGACTATTATCATCTAATGTATAAAGGCTAAAATGGCCGATTTTGTACCGATTAAGATGGTTATTGATTCCGTCGTCTATTGTTCATAATTTTTAACTATGGACTCAGGCGTTTACTGATTCTCCCAAGTTTTACACTTTATATAATCTTAATACCTTCCTATTATATACAGTTTTTTTTTTTTTTTATGCTTCTTTATATGCATCTTCTACATATTATAAACAATGATGTTAAACATTATTGTAATTAATGCGACATCGACGAATCTGTACAAATATTTTTCATAGCAAAAATTAAATTGTCAATAATACTATAATAACTTTCATTTTACCCACCACTATATATAATATTTTCCTTCAGTATTTTTTTTCTTTTATATATTTTTATGTATAGATAATACTGACTTTAATATTATGCATAGAAAAAGAGGGTTAGATAAGTTGTTTTACAAAGAAAAAAGAAAAAACCAACCTATGACAAAAATTTAGAATTAAAAAATACTTTAAAAAAAACGTAAGACAGAGAGATACTGGGAGTTAACGAGCAAAACGAGCAGTGGACAGAGCCCCTGGTAATATTCAAATACTTAAAATTATAAAAGTTTTGTTAGTCCGATTATTGTTTTACCTATCAACCAATACCTTGTAAATCATTATTTTGAATAATAGAAAAAAAAATACTTAATAGTAGGTACCTATTATACTTTTAAAGTTTTAACATACTGATATTATCATATCATGTTATTAATTAATTGTTTTATTATAAAATTCAATAATATATAAATATAGTCTAAATTTTTTAGCTGGCTTCTAACATTTTTATAAATTTATCACAAAGTTATAAATTACCTAAATAGATAGTATGAACAGTAACCGGTAAAATCGATAAAACCTCAGCGGAATGGCATAGGTACTCATAGAATTAGGAAATTACAAATTTCTAGTTATGAAATAAATAATTTAAATTAACCTAACCTATCTRTGCAAAAAAATTTGTTTGGCCATAAACCGGACTTTTTTTAAAGTGTTTAGTCACTTAAAAATGAAATATTATGATGGGTATTCAAAATTTTTAATGCAATGCAATTTTTAATACAATTTAAGTGTTAAACTATCCCTGAGCTATGCACCTCGTTTAGACAGTATACAACTATTGTATATTGATGAAACTTAAAATTTAAATACATTATTTCTATTTTTTTTCGTGTTTATAAGCATGCGTAGTTAATCATGATTAAATTATTTTAAACAATTTTCAGAAAATATAAAACGATTTTCGGAAAATTTGTTAAAAAATGTAATTTATGATTTCAAAAACTGCCCTGAATCATACAATATTATTATATTTAATTTTAAAGTTAATATTGTTATTAATTCATAAGTAATATATTCAAGATTCAACTTATACAATTTAGTATTTACCATAACTAATCCTAAAATAAAGAAATAAAGTCCTTAAATTGAAATTAAATATTTATATTTGTACGTACTGGAATGTATACGTTTTAAAATTATAAAAATAAAATAGTTTCCAAACTAGTATTTTGTTTTCTACAAAATTGAAATAGCTACCTACTGAAACAAATCTAAGCCAAATCCTTTTTTAAATACGAAAATATTGGCTTACATATTTGATATTTTACAATTTATATTTACCTTAAGTTTAGTCTATCTTAAAAACTATTTTGAATAAAAGTGGATAATCCATTAATAAATCAAGTTCGTTTTTTATTGAAATAATTTTAAAAATTAAAAATAAAACTTTTTGTATCCGAAATATTAGAAATTATTACGGTGATCGATACTATTCAATTTTTATTTTTATTTTTGTAGTTTTAGCAAACTATTTTAAATTATATACTATGAAAAATTTACTTTTTATCAGACTAAATCAAAATAACCAACAATTTTACAATAAAAAATGTATTATTATGACCGATTTCTTTTGAAGTAAAGCTTAAAACAATTTTAGTACGGCATTAATGACGTTCTCATTAACTAGAGCAATAAATTATTATAATTCAAGTTAAAATAAATACACTAAATACAAACAAAAACCCGATAATAATAAAATTAACAATTTTATTTTTTTATTAACTTAAATAGTTTTTACGATAATTAGAAACTATGTATCTGAGTAACACTTACCTCTAACTTTGTCATGCTGTTGCTCAGATGAACCAATCGTTTAGTACCTAACAAATTCATCGCAACCGAAAGTTTAAGCGCTTCATCAAACTTAACGGTGGCTGCCGAGTGGAACACAATAGATACGTTATCTATTAACGTTTTTTGATCCAGTGTGCTGATGCCAAGATCGCATTTAGTGACATCGCCATTAATGGGCACTAACTTTTTTAAAGACTCTGGTTGATTTTTCCTCACCCAATCAAATATCTAAAAGAATTGTTTTTAAAAAGAAAGATTAAAACAACAAAAAACTGAAATTTCAATCATTACGAGTAAGTAGTTAATAGAAGTTTTAAAAGAAATTGAGTGTCTACCTATGTTTCATTCATTTGAAAATATATATATTGGTACATCAAATCGTGTGAAAAATATTAAAACAWTATTAATGTCTATTGACTATTTGTATCAACAAATGTACATTCGATTATACTAATTTTCAATAAGGCGTAATAATTAAACTATATTCTACAAAATAATGCTTGCACATTTTTGAGATTTTAATTGATGTATAATATCTCGTACAATGGCATAATTTAAGGAAATTGGGGAAATACTCTTATATTTGTACAATATCTAAGAGTTTTTTGCGAGAATGATTTTTTAGTTACTTCCCAGTGAAGTCACAAAATATTATATAGCTACAAATTTTAATTTAAAATAGATATTTATCGAAGTACCATTGCGTTCCATTTAATGATATTATTATGTAGATAAAAAATATGAATTATATTATATTTATTATGTATACCTCTATATATGTTTTATTATTATTATTCAAGTGGTAGTCAGAAAATACGAAATAAAATAATTTAAAAAGACTTCAAAGTAATACATTTAAAACTACAAAATTATAAAGTGAATAAAACTGAATACAGAATAAAATATATTATTCATGGAAACTAAACACAGATCAGAAAAGAGATTTTTAAATATATATAAATTAAGACCTTTATTAGAAAAAAATATCAACGAGTGCTGCCAAACACTGACGTGTTATTTTCAAATTTAGCACGCGTTTTAAATAAACAATAGAATAAAATATAAATGAATATATTTCCTTGCTTATTAGCTTAACTATTTCCCTTAACAAAAGCGTGAAAAATTTATTAAATTATCTAAATTATTTTTAAAAATGTATAGGTATACATGCAGCATGCTGTATTGCAATTATAAATTAACTGTGCAAATATGAAAATGATTTGCTCTTCGAGTGACCTAAACCGAAATAGTTTATAATTAAAAAAAAAAACATTATGATACCTACATTTCTATACGCTTTTATTGCTAATACTATTATCATTATTTTATTTTACCGCAGCATTGAGAAGTTGATCTAGCCTGGACTTGACGTCGTTGCCTTGTTTGGGCCTGATTAGTAAATATATTAATCCAATGTTTGGACAYGAGTGGAGCAATTTCTCCACTAACACCTTGCCCATGAACCCTGTGCCACCGGTGATGAGTACGTGACGACCGCGGAAAAAGTCCGATATCGGGCTGGACGTGCTGGCCATTATTATATTCTTTGTAGCACAACTGAAAAATAAAAACGAAATGAAATTTTAATTTTATCATCATTACATATTATCATATAATTTAACTCCGAACAAACAAATTATACGAAAATCAGCTTCATAACGACGATAATAACACTGAACGTGAGACATAGGGGTAGATATTGTATCCGAGATATAAAATAAAGAAAGAGAGAGAGATAGATAGAGATGATGAAAAACCTTATATAATAATATGAGAATAGTATCCTTCTAGTTCTTGTAATGGTGATGTTATATGCGCCATGTGCACGTGGCGCGTGTAAGACCTTACGCCGGAGCCTTCGATACGGATCACTATAAGTATAATAGAGATACTCGTTCTTGGCGACAGAATTCTAACGACGGGTCCGATGCTCTTAACGCATCTCGGACGTTATCGGAGGTATATAATTGTATGAAAAAGTCAAAGTTTAAGGTATTAGATAATTATAGTCTTAACAAAAATAACAACAATAGACATAAGCCTCCTATTGATGACAAAAAAAAAAATAAAAATAAAAATAAAATATAATATAATGTTGATAATAATAATATTTACTGATCGCGATTGTCGTTGCAGTCAATTGTAAACGGCGATGGGTAGCCCTTTCGTAAATGGTAAGACGAAGAAAAAAAAACACGACCGCGGACGGATATGACGGATACAAGACTGTCGCAACGTACCTATGTGTACGACTTGTAAACCAACCGACGCGCCGACGGGCGGTTGGACGTGAGACGGTGGCAGGACAACAACACGATGTGGCGGTGGCGACGACGAAACTCCACGAGCGGCRATGTGTGTGTGTGTGTGYGCGTGCGCGCGCTTATTAGTAGGTACGTGCGGCGCCGTGTGGTGTAGCGACCGTACAGCTGAGACCTRAGAGCAGTGAGAGCGGCGGCCGTCGCCGTCGTAGACTGCGGCCGATAAGCCGATGTGCGCGTGCGTGTCGTGCCTTGTGCCGGTGTGTGTCGACGGGCACGAATGTGAGCGAGTACGCACTCACGACCCCATCCCGGCGGCGGCAATGGTAATTCGATAAAGGGGCGGGCGCCTCACCATCCTGCGTTTCACCACGTACGGGCGGCGGAACGGAAAAAATCGGAGAGCCGCCGCGTCTTCCCCCTCGCTCGTGTAGCGTCGCCTCATCCCTCGCCGAAGTGGCGTTGGCGGTATCATCGCCTCTCGTCCCGACCGGCACAACACCCTCGTATATTTGGGCCGCTGGCCGCGCGGTGGTGGAGAACGGTGCTCGTCGTGTGGTCTTGGCGGAAGAACGAATGTGATAGGGTGGGTGTGGGTGCGGCGGTGGCGCCGCGCCGTGTCGATAAATCTGTGGGCCGCGTGATAAAAGGTATATAATATATGGGTGTGTGCGTATTTGCGTATAGGTAGTACATTTCGAGTGTGTGTGTATGTGTTGCCTGAGACGGTGAATAAACATACACCACCACCGCATCGGTGGATCTGTACACAGGGGTTAAAGTGGGGGGGACGCAGGAGGACTCAGTCCCCTTACCTCTGACGGCGGTTAAAAAGCGTCCCCTTTAACAAATTAGGATTTTATACATTAGACATTATACATAAAATTATATATGGAACGCTTAWAACTYTTTGGAAACATTAGTCCCCTCTGGAATTTTTTCCCACTTTAACCTCTGTCTGTACAGTGTAGTTTTCGCGTAGACCACTCGCACCGCCTCAGCACCACCATAGTATAGGGTGATCGTGAAAAACTCAAGGCCGCCTTCTGGTTTTGAAAAACGTTCAATCGGCGTTGACGACCTATAAGTACGCTATTACTAAATGTGTATGTATGTGTCACGCGTGTTATACCTATACGCTCATTATTACTATATCGCTTCCGAGTTTTGTCAAAGCTGTTTTCCTCACGTCACGGTTTGCCTGCGGGGTGAGAGAGTTTTTTTGTGCTAAAACGTGGTTCGAGAATTAAAGAATGCTGCGCCTTTGTATAAACAATGATACGAAAAATCGACCCCGTCCCGGTACTCGTGACCTGCAGTGCGTCCAACTGCCCCTGAAACTCATCCCTCGACCCACAGTTCTTTATGTGTGCTTCGCCAATCTACTGTAATACAATATTAGTTACTGTTATTACTTAATATTAAGCGCGCCACCACTGTCTGAATACCTTTTACAATGTTCCTAAGATCGTTTGTAAAACATTTAACGTCAACGTTTCTTTTTCGTAATTCAGAGGTAAACCAGAAATGGTCAAGCAGATAAATGTTTATAAATTATTATTATAAAAATAATACCTGCAATTATTCACTAAGAATGGGTTTGGCGATGGTCGATTAATCATGAGTAATTGATCAACATAATTATCTTCTCCCTGTTGTAGTCTACACCAGGACCTCCAAAATTAGCGAAGGTTTCAAGGTAAATAGAGATTGRCGTCTACAGGATTATGTTATTTTTAATCGAATAACATCGTACCAATGTATTCAATGTACGCTTATTTGAGTCCGATTATTCGAATTGTTACTAATTGCGTCATCCTAAATAAGTAGACATACATTTACACTGATACATTTTTTTTTCACAAATTATTATTTTCGATTTTAAACGCAAGTTACATTTTTATTTAATTATGTGTATACAGTTATTAAATAGATAAAAAAAAACATTTAAAAATTAAAAATTCCATATAATTGGAAGAGTAGTATCGTTTCAACTAAGATAAATAACCATATTATGTTGGTTACCTAATTATTGAAATGAACTTATTAGGTCATTGAATTAAACTAATTTTTTTTTAATAATAATACTAAGTCTATGTAATAAACAATATTAAGAATTTAAAACAGTTTCTAGTAAATTTCAACCAAATATTAAAATGTAATTATTTTTGTGACTCATCATTTTTAGACTTTAAGTAGTTAATATTATTCTAGWCCKACAATGTCAATTGAAGAATTATTTTTATTGTAAGACCCAATTGTGTATTAAAAAATAAAAATCATTTTAAAATATGTCAATCGCAGTATACTCTTTTTCCTTTTTGAAGACGCTGTTAGTATCCTCATCTTTCTATAATGTTTAAGGGATACCTGCAGCTAATTTGAGTTAAATAATTAAATAAATCAGCTAAATATTATATTATACCACGTTGTGTCCGTCAATCTGTCAGTCCGTTCGTTTGTTTGTCTGTTAGTTACCTACCGATATATAATTACGATTGTTGATATTAAGGTATTAATTTGTTCTTCATAATTACTGTAAATAAATTGTATATAAAATTATAATTTAACAGGTTGTATTAAGAACTTTTATAACCCAGGAATTTAGCATGATCGTATAGTAAGCTTTTCTCAGTTATTTAATTATAATGTTTAAGTTGAAATTGAAACTTTTAGTTTAAATTTAATTATAAAAGTTTTGTTTTCGTTGKTTTTTTATTTTTATTTATTTTAACTAACATTTTCACTGCTGGCTACAAAATTTAAATATATTTTCTACCATTCTTTAACACTGTCTAACACTACATTGGTAGTAAATACTGCACATAATTTACACTATTTATTTGTATACATTATACATATTATTATATAAACATTAACAGCGGTCAACAATACAAATGCTTAGCATGTGAATAATGCGTGGCACATGATGTGTGTTACATATTATGTTTCACCCAAGTTTGATATAACTATAAGGTACTGTACATATCCAGTTCCRAAAATTAAACTGTTATTGTAATTAAATTTTAATGAATTCTGATTCAAAACTAGTTTGGCACTTTCTGTTTCTGTTTATATTATTATAAAAATAAAAATACAAAAAATACACACAGATTCAAAAAACTGCTTACGGTCCCTGAACTTAAGTTTTAATCGATAAAATGATGTTTTTTCAATCAATATATTCCTACTGTTGATAGGTAAAAGTTTGAGTGGCAGTAATTACAATTTTAGATTTGAGTAAATAATAAGGAATCTTAAACCGGTTTATAAACTCATAATTATGCATAACTGTCGAACGAAAATCGTTCAAAAAAAAAAAAAATATTAAATGATAACACATTATTGTAAAGTCAATACATTCATTGCTCCGCGCAGATTCTAAAATATAATATTTTAATAATCATTAAAATTTTTTCAACGAAATAAATAATATAATACCATATTACGTATTATACGATGAAAATAGACGGTGAAGATTTTCGACTATTGGCTGTTTTTAGGAAACTTATACTATTTTGTCACCAGAAGATGACACAAAATGTCAACTATAACAACAATGAAAATAATATAGTTATTGTATCAAATATTAATATAATTAATATCATTTTRGCCATTTTTTAAAAATATTTTTAATCTTGAAACACATTAATTTACGTACAAATTATTAAGAGTATTTAAAGTAATTAAATTAATATATTAAATAGAAAATATATTAACACTTACCAATAGCAAATCTGAAAAAAGCACACTGGAGGAGCATAAAAGAGCAGGCACAAAAAAAATATCTACATGAACAATTTTGTACGTATTAAAGTTTTTTTTCATGCATTTTTCAAAACAAATTTAATTTATATTAAGAACACATAACAAAAGGTGAAATATTTAACACTTGAAAACATTCACACTAACATTCGTTACTTTAGTAATTTAAAATTATAGAATATTTCTATACAAATCCATTTGTTCAAATAAAAACAAATATACCTACTTAATTAATGTTGTTAATATTTATGCTAACGTAAATTTTAAATTATATGTGTTAAATTATTGAAGTTAGTATAATAAATGAATTTTTTTGGAACGGTAAGTTACATGTAATTTAATTTAAGTAATATTTTACGTATACATTTAAGTAATAACAAAATATTCATACTATTGTATAATATTTCATAATATGTTAGTTATGAATTACCCATGTTATAAGAAAAAGGTAACATTTTATTATTTTACTTWAATTTTATGCGAATACTATCATTTATTAGTTTTACATAATATGAATAATTTGAATATTTC